AAAGCACTCGTAAATCTCGAACTAAAAAAAAATATCTTCTCAAGTGTTGTGTGGTAGGACGAGAGGGAGTGTCAGACTCTTACTGACTAAAACCCAATCCGTTCCTTTTCACATATTATTTTCACATTTTTACGCTTGACCTGGAACTCCAGCTGAACGTCAGTCCTGTTGGACCCTATCTTAGGTATGTTGGTCTGATGGCTTTTTGGCGCTACGAGCCTCACTCTCGGGTTGGATGAATGTTATTGTGATTTGTCCTAAAGTTGAGTGAGTATTCACAAAAAAGTTTTTGCTATATCTAACAGAGAAACACAAAAACAGCTACGTTGCGACGCACGATAAATTATTTTAATATTTGAAAGTGTCACAAGATGAAATTATAAATCGAATCATTATAGGCACGGTCATGTAATCTACATATTATAATCACCGATTTTCAACTCCTGGGACAGCCATGCTTCGGCACGAATGGGTCGGCTCGACCGGAGTGATACCACGGCCTCACAGAAAACCGGCGTGAAACAACCACAGCGTTGTGTTTCGCCGGGTAAGTGAGGTTACCGGAGGCCCCCAATCCCTCCTCAATCCCTAAATCTCCAAACCTTAATCCCTAAAAGGTCGGCAACGCACTCGTAACTCCTCCGTTGCGGGTGTACATGGGCGGCGCAAAAAAGGTGACACGCTCGTTTGCCAATCTATCACATTCAAATAACATGTACCGCAGAACGATAAGACAATCAATCCAAACATATCCGTTGCAGATCTACACTGCGTACACTGATATATTTTATTTATGAAGTTCGAGTACGCAACGTTTTTTTGGTGTAGTATTTTACCAACCTTTTGTTGTCTGGCTAGAGAAAATGAAATATTGGAAAAACGAGCGTTCGATATTTTGGAAATATCGAAAAAGATTGGGTCTTTTTGTATGCTGTAGGTTCTGTAGTTTTGAAGGTTTTGTAGCAAGAACTCTCAAGTTAAATTCCTATTTCAAGTAAAGTAGATATTGAAATTTGACATCGGACAGTTTTGTTAATTGCTTTGTTTTTTTTTTTTTTTAATTAAAACTTCTAATAAATTGAATTTAATTATTTTACTCATCGTACACCATTATAGGTCACATAATGGCTTACACTTAGAAAACGAGATTGCGAAACCAAAAAAATATGTCCAGCGGCTCTAAACCCACCTTTGTAATAAGCAGCCATAAAGTTATTTATCAAAAAGGCAATAAATATAATGAGCTGCTGTAAAAAGCCAGCAATCAGACTCATAACAATTTATGACGTCATAAGTTCAGGTATTATTGCACCTGGAAACGAAATGAAACCATAAATTACACGCAACATCACGCCTTGTTCCCGTGGGAGTGAGTAAAAGTTATTGGAGTTAACAATCGTTGTGTTATTTATCACTACATAGTATAAAACAAAGTCGCTTTCTCTGTCCCTATATCCTTATGTACGCTTACTTCTTTAAAACTACGCAACAACGGATTTTGATGTGATCTTTTTTATTAGATAGATTTATTGCTAAAGAAGGTACATGTATGATAATATTCATTAAGTAGTGGATTTATTATCAGCATTGCACACGTGCGAATTATTATTACCAGTTTTATGCAAAAACCCAGCGGCCAGCTTTTGCTTCGGCCAGTTGTCCTCCCTACTCCTTTGGTACTAAGAGTGTCCATGGGCGGCGCCGATTGCTTACCATCACAATTTCATAAGAATCAGAAATTGAGAGGGAAAAGTTAGGTCTCCGGTAAACTCATTAACACGACGATACACAACGCTGTGGTGGTATCACGATGGTTTTATGTGAGTCCATTGTATTACTACTGTCGAGCCGACAAATTTATTTTGAATCATGGGTCACCCAATCAATTGGTAATCATAATAAACGATACATAAAACGAATAGTCGTTAAATTTAATTTGTGCTGAAACACCCTAAAATTGATACAAATTAATTCAAAGAAAACAATGAAGCAAGAATATCAAGGTCTTGTTGGTCAACAGAACGCTGGACAGAAGAATTTCGGTAAAGGAAAAAGGAAATTTTAACTACTAAAGCGGTTCATTTTACGATTCTTATAATAATTTTGTAGAATGAATAGATAAAATCAATCTAATGCTAGATAGATGCACTACAGTAAATCACCCAGCCATGCTACACCACGACAAAGTCAACTCTACACGAGCAGTTTTTCCTCTAATGGTCTAATTATAATAACATAAGCTTGATGTTATGCAGGAATGGATTAAAACTAGAATGCACCCTAGCACCTCATGAGCGCCATGAATTTCTTTTTGCGCTTTCTATTTGCGACATATGCCGTTTGCACGCGCTGCCAAAACCTGGAGCTTCCTGCAACCTGGCATCTTGTCACAACCTAGCACCTTCCTACAATCTGGGAGGCCTATAAGACCACATTATAGGAAAACCTGGCGCCCTCCTAAGACCTGGGGAATCTTACAACCTGGCGCGCCCTTATAACTTAGCATCCCTCACAACCTGGAGCTGCTTGCAAGTTTCCCCTCACATCTTAAAGCTCCCACATCCTGGCGGGAACGCTGACACGTATATTTTGCATCATGTAGATAGATAGGGGTAGATAGCTACCCCGCACTCACTACAGACGCGCACATTTGGTTATATACTTATGTACTAAGTTCAGTGTGTTTTGAAGACATTCAAATATAATTAATTGGTAGTATATTTCAAGAACTTTTATTTCTCTCTGTACTCAATCACCAAAGACCAAACCACATGCAACAACCCAAAACCCCCATACATATAATCTAGCGCCCTAAGCGTTTGGATAGTTTGTCTTAGGGACAATAAGCAACTGATGTTATTTTTGGCACATGAATGTGTAAACCCTTGGCACACTAATAATATTATTTCAGTCAACTTCCTCAAACCTCCTTTTTGGGTATGTGAAAATGGCTATACGCTATCTTTTGTAGTACTCTGTGTATGGTTTGTGAGACACTGAAAATTAACATAACCAAATATTATTCCGTGGTTGCAACCACCGTACCGTGGCCGGAGCAGGAGAAGGCCAGGCCGGGTAAAACTATTTGATGTTTTTCCACATTTAAAAATACAAACATTATTACACCTGTATACATAATAATATATAATTTTTAATAGAGTGGTAGGAAGTGCTACTGCCAAGGCTTTCTGGAAATTCTGCTCAACTTCTCAGTTTTTTTTCAAGGGAAAAACAATTTGTGGATTACACAGCTTATAAAAATACGTGGGTATTTGTTGTTTAAATAAATCTTAGATTATCTCCTGTGTCGTGGTTGCGTTTACAGACGTACAATTACACACAGATGACACTCAAACACGGAGCTTGAAAGAGTTTCGGATCACACAGTCGTTCTGTTTCTGTGCAGGTATTCCTGACACATTACACGGCAGCTTTTAGCTCAGCCGCGCCAACCGCGCCAACCGCGCAGTCAAACCTCGAACCGTGCAGTTTTGTCTTCGTTACACCTACAATACTCTCTCTGCAATACCTAACAGATTCGATTAAATCCAAACTTCCAAACTAATATCATAAATGCGAAAGTAGCTCTGTTTGTCTGTCTGTTTTTCACGCCTAAACTACTGAACCGAATTCTTTGAAATTTGGCACAGACATAACTTGGAACTCGAGAAAAAACATAGGATAGTTTTTATACCAAAAATCTGCAAGAAATCACTAGGTATTCCACGCGAACGGAGCCGCGGGCAAAAGCTAGTATGCCACTACTGAATGTTACCTACATTGTATATGAACTCTGTTTCCTGTCTGTTGTTGAATCTCTGTTTATTCCTTTCGAAGATCAAAAAGAGCAACTTTTAGTATATAATTACAAAATCCTTGAAGAAACATTTTGTATCCCTGTGACCGAGTCTGGGGACTGTACGAAGGTCAGCAAATCAACCTACCCATTAATCTTAAACTCAACTCTATTGCTTTGAAATAAAGTCGAAATTATTATAAATCTGCTTGGTTTTTGTTTTACGGGGAGTTTGTTTAATATTCTGGCACCAAACACATAAATGGTAGTTGAAAACTCAACCTCTTTATTACACAAACAAAACAAGGTTAACTTTTTCATATTTTTTGTTCTTGAATAAAAAGTTTAAAACATCTTATCATATTAAACAAGAACTTTGATTCATAGTCCAGAAATCCACCCTACAGTGATTCCTCAGTCGTCAGTTGCATTGCATTTTGCATTTGGTTACTAGGGAAGCAACGAATCTATCCTTATCCTACGAAATCTATTCTTATATATAAAAATGGATCGTAAAATATGTTGGTAAGCGCATAACTCAACAACGCCTGGACCAATTTTGCTAATTCTTTTTTGTTGTGTTTGTTATTATCAGGAGAAGGTTCTTATCTAAGAAAATATTAGAAAAGTAGAGGGGAAGATTAGGAAAAAGTGACACTTTGATAGCGAGATAGTTGGGCCCGTGCGAAGCGGGGGCGGGCCTCTAGTTCTTTATAAATTACTTATATCTAGTAACAAAAATTTTAAATACTATAACAAACAGGCTGCCTGGATTGGACATTGTCCGAACCCAATTTCGTATTTTATTAGCCAACAAGGATTAATTTGCCAATAAAACCAATTTTGTTTCTTAAATCCCTGAAGGGTAGTTGTATAGTGCCCTCTAGTAGATGTTTGTTAAACTACAGAAAGGGTGAATTTGAAAACTTATGTGTTATGCTCATTCTACCAAAAATAAAGGTAGTTTTAAAAATCTCGCTGTTTTTCGTTAAATGGATTGAAGATGAATCTAAATTTTCTCTCTCTATCACATAGCTATTATATCATATGGTAGAACGAACACTTAGTTATAATAAAATTTTCTTTTGTGAAAATAATTAACAAAATTAATCGTAAACTTAACTCAAAAACTACCAAATTCCAATACAAAATATTCAACTAGCAATTTTATTAAATCAACATGAAATGACAGCTCGAATCGAGATGACACTAATGACATTACTATTATGAATTCGAGTTATTGTTATCGAAAAATTCTTGAAATGTATATTTTGATTTAAAGTGATGACTAAAAATAATTGATAATTAAACAGTTATCCGCTTAAATGGCTTTCCCTAAGATAGACGGTTATGTGGTGACGGAAAAACTGGGTACAGGCAGCTATGCTACTGTTTACAAAGCTTACACAAAGGTAAATATATTTTATATAAACTTCCAGTTACGTACACAGATAAAAAACAACTATTTTCCTCCTTATACAGTTGCTTTACAATTTAATACAGTTTTCAACAGTAAGAATACATTCTAAATGTTTAATTTGTATAGTTTAAAATGTGAAAATTCTGTAAAATAAATGTGTTAAGTAATAAAATCGTGTTTCCGATCTTACAGCTGTTTGCTATCAGATAAGTTATCAACAAAGAGGTTACATCCAGTTATAACTGTATCTATTTATTGACATAATACTATTACATGTAACATAATAACATTTTAATATTGTAGGTGACAAAAAATAATTTTAAAAATATATTCAATATATATAAAAATATTATAAGTTAAGGAAAAGTAATTTTATTAACTTATTTAAAACTGTTATGATTGGAGTTTCTTGCTCGTTCTTCTCCATCGGAATCTACACTTTGGAACGAGCAAATAGCTTCACTAAGAGGACTGACCGACAGAGTGACACGATATCTTCAAAATTTTGTTTTGACGTTCAAAAGTGCCTGTAATGGTCTAATTGGAATAAATGATTTTTGACTTTTGACTTTTTGACTTTTGATTCAGTGGCTTCCTATACATACATCAAGCAATATTGTCCTACATTCTTTGAATATTTAGAAGCCAATATATATTTTTAATTGAAAAAAAATATTGAATATCAGTGTGTAACACCACGTGTTGTGATTCGCTTAATCTTTCATCATCATCATAAGTACCCACTGCTGAGCAAAGGCCTCTTCTCATACGGAGGAGGTTTGAGCATTAAACACCATGCTTGCTCAAAGCGCATTGCCAAATTTTCAAACATATAAGTGTAGGTTTCCTCATGTTTTTTGTCTGTGGTGTCTAAATAATCATAGAAAGTACATATGACTCGGATAAAGTCACATTGGTACTTGCCAGGTTTTGAACCCGCACCCTCATGCACGAGAAGCAGGTGCTTAGCTTCCGGGCCACCACGACATTTAATGCTTAATCTTTAACCTTCCCCAATCCCCAAATCGGCAGAATATGTGTTCCCCAAAGCATTTCTGGGTGGCTTGCATGAATAGGTTGCTTATGGGCAGGTGTGCTCCATCATAGATCACATCATAGCTTACCAATAGTCCAGATAGTAGCCAAACAAAGAAAAGATCCTCAAGTAAAGTACTGCAATAGTCCGGTTAACTAGTCTTGTTTTACGATTGTCTATTTAGAGTGTCGATTGCTTACCATCAAGAGATCAGAATGCTCGTATAAAAATTGGTTTGTCGACTTTATTGATAATTTAACTAGTTTAGAATTTTTTTTAAAAAATTGCTGTAATCTTTTCTTACGTAGAATTTAGAGTCATTTTTATGAATTTAGTTAAAGTGACATCATTTTTTTTATTTGATTAGTGGATCGGCTGACATGTACGTATACAAGTCAGCCGGGGTTGCGGGGTAAGCCCAATGAGGCACCGCGACCTCGGCCCAGAGCAGGAGAAGGAACAGGGGAGTTTTTAGTCAGTAAGAGTCTGACACTCTCTCTCGCTTTACCCTGGGCGTGAGAAGACATTGGACGATTTTCACCTGACGAAAAAAAAAGAGGAGTTACAAGTGTGTTGCTGAACTTTAGGGATTAAATGTGGGAGAGCCAAGCTTCGGCACGAATGGACTGGTGTGATACCACGGCCTCACAGAATAACGGCGTGAAACAACTACAACGTTGTGTTTCGCCGTGTGAGTGAGGTTACCGGAGGCCCAATCCCGCTCCTTCCCCTATCCCTTCCCGATCCTTATCTTTGGAGTTGCGGATGTCCATGTGCGCTGCTGATTGCTTACCATCAGGTAATCCGTCTGCTCGTTTGCCGACTTATACCATAAAAAAAGGTTAGGGTTTCTGAGATATAGAGATGTATTGGAGCCCCAAGAACTTCACTCACACGGCGAAACATAACGCTGTGGTTGTTTCACGCCGGTTTTCCGTGAGGCCGTGGTATCACACCGGTCAAGCCGACCCATTCGTGCCGAATCTTTTCTCCCACACATTATACAACTCAGCATTTATTGCCAAACTAAACGTGTATACAGAATTTCAGTGTCAATCCATTAAAACTTCACAGTGTCACGGAATTTTAACGCGCACGTACCTTTTTTATTAGTTTTTTGCTTGACGTCTCGGCAGGAGGGTCTCAAACAGACTGTTCGGCGATACTAACTCCGTCGATGAAGGTGATTTATTTTCATCTACCCTCGATGTTAATAAGTGTTCTTTATATAGTCGCGTACACACTACACCCACTTTGTCCGGTTTTTTAATACATTTAAAATCGCGATGCTACATTTTTAAATGAGGTAGGTATGTGCGCAGTAAATTCCTTATAAAAACATGTACACAAAACAGTATTTACATACACACTCACATACACTCACACTCACTCACTCACTCACATACACACACACACACACTGAGTGTGTGTGTGTGTGTGTGGTGTGTGTGTGTGTGTGTGTGTGTGTGTGTGTGTGTGTGTGTGTGTGTGTGAGTGTGTGTGTGTGTGTGTGTGTGTGTGTGTGTGTTTGTGTGTGTGTGTGTGTGTGACACTCACTCACACACAGTGTGTGAGTGTGTGTGTGTGTGTGTGTGAGTGAGTGAGTGAGTGAGTGTGAGTGTATGTGAGTGTGAGTGTAATATAATATATAATATAATATATGTAATATGTATGCTGCTGTAACATCTCTGTATGCTGCCCTACTGGGTCCATATAGTTTCTAATATATTGTTGTACTTTATAAAAAATATCACCTGTATAATATATGTATACATATATATATGTAACATACATATATTATTGTATATTTTTTTAAAACGTTGCCCCACATCAGGAATTTGTCTTGTGTCGTGGGTGCGTTTACAAACATACAATACGGTAGTTTCCAACTAGTCAAATTCAATACTTTTATCCAAATGTCGAAAACGATACTTTTCTATGAAATTTGTATGAAACATTGAATTATGACGTCATAGCATTTTTGCGTCAAATAGCTTACTTATTTTTAAAAAAATATCTAAAACTTAGTGTATCGATCTATCGATGAATAAAAGTATAGTTGTTTTTCAACATTTTATCGTATTAAAACGTCGAATTAATTTATTTTTGACCTAGGAAACTACCCAATTTCGCATATAGATCACACCCAGACCCGGAACAACAATTTGTGGATCACATAAAGTGTTGTTCCGTTCGGGAATCGAAACCGAGACACTTCGCACGGCAGCCAGTTGCCCAACCACCGCACTAACCATGCCATCAAGTATAGAATGCTAATAAAGTACTGAGTACTAACTGCTCGGCTCCATTTGATTTTAGCGTGATGTTTTATAGCCTATTACTCAGGAACATTGTAGCTATGTATCAGTGAAAGAATTTTGGCAATCCGACCAGCAGTTCCAAAGATTACCCCCTACATACAAACTTAAAAATTTTACCTCTTTATAATATTAGTATACTTAGATAAAAGCTTGGTAAAAAATCCTCTCTATCCAGGTGGGTGCCCGAACAGTGGTAGCGATAAAATGCGTGGACAAATCCAGAGTGAAATATTCCGGTACTGCAGTGGACAACCTGATCACCGAAATACGTTTATTGAAGAAACTGACCCATCCGCACATAGTCCATATGAAGAATTTTACATGGGATGATAAGTAAGTAGGTGGTTTTCTAAGCTTACAGACGACGATTAATGACTTCTCCCGCCCAGGGTAAGGCGAGGGACAGTGTCAGACTCCTACTGACTAAAAACTGTCTGTTCCTTCTCCTGCTCTGGGCCGAGGTCGCGGTGCCTCATTGCGCTTACCCCGCAACCCCGGCTGAACATCAGCCCTTTAGGGCCCCGTCTGTGGTGGACTATTAACTCTTTGAGGCGCGCACGGAACGCTACGCGCCATACGCTCGGGTCTGGTTCTGGCGGCAAGTTGCCCTTACGCGCCGACCGCAGACCCGCGCTTACGGTGGCCGGAGATCGTCACTTGATGCCCGACGCCCGTAGTGTCGCCTGTTGCGGCGTCTGGGGCGTGAGGAGGAGGATTGCTCCCTCAAGCGGGCCGCCTCCCAGTGCTTGTACGGTACGAGCATCATAATGTACTCCAAGAGAAGGAGAAGGAACCGGTGGTTTTTAGTCAGTAAGAGTCAGATACTCCCTCTTAGAGCAGGAGAAGTCATTTGATGATTTTATATCCTCGAAAAAATTACCCTGATGGTAAGCAATCATTATGTTACGTTTTCTTTCGACGATCGAGTGAGGCTCAGTCTTTCCCCTCCCCCCATCATCATCAGCCTATAAGTCCCCATTGCTAAGCAAAGGCCTCTTCTCACACGGAGAAGGTTTAAGCATTAATCACCACGCTTGCTCAATGCGGGTTGGCGATTTCAAACTTATATTTAGAAATTATAAGTCCAGGTTTCCTCACGATGTTTACTTTTACCGTATGTCAGTGGTGTCTAAATAATCATAGAATCCCTCCATCCCTTCCCTATCCATAGATCTCCGAAACCCTGATCCCCAAAAGCTCGGCAACGCACTCGTAACTCCTTTAGCGTTGGTTTTGGTGTCCATGGGCGGCTCTGATTGCTTACCATCAGATAATCCGTCTGAACGTTTTCCGTCCTCATAAAATACTGTATGTTATTTTCAGAAATATATACATTATAATGGAATACTGTTGCGGAGGTGACCTCTCTAAGTATATACAGAGGTACGGCAGGGTCGCTGAAAAGCAGGTTAGTTGACCACAATATCATTATAATCATTAATATCAGTATGAATATCGTTGTCATAATCATTATGACCTATAATCGTAAATATCATAACCATAATTACAATCATAATCATATATATGTATATCATATATCCTTATCAAAATCAATTACAATCAATCACTTATTCAATGTAATACTCTATATTATAATGTATATTTGTTTTTATTGGAATAATGTTGCTTATCATGCTGTGTGATTACGCTTGGGTAGCAGTCTGTGCAAAATGTTATGCTTTAAAAAACATTGTATCATGTCGATTGTTACCAGTTGTAAAAGCCTTGTAAAATAAAATAAAATAAAAAAGAACAAAAAAAAATCATTATAATCACAATTTTGTGTTTTCGCGGCCATTCACATGACCACAGCGTCACGGCACGGGTTTTGGAAGGCTAATGAGGGTCCGAAGCCATCTCGCAGAAGGGTTGAACAACTTTAATTTAGAATGTGATGGAACATCAGCCGGCAATCATCCCTGTATGCACTATGAAAGTGCACCCAAGGATAATCCCCCGGTTGATGGGGGACCATTGTGCAATATGGTAGAAAATGATATGAATATGGGTGACTATGGACTGGTAGATGTGATAACTATGGAAATGCTGTGGCCCCTGCCACTGCCCCTGACTTACCTACCCATACTATACCTACATCAAGCAACAAAACTCCCTCATCAATCTCTCTATTAAAAACTGCATCAAAATCCGTTGTGTAGTTTTAAAGATGTAAGCGTACATTGGGATATAGGGACAGAGAAAGCGACTTTGTTTTATACTATGTAATAATGTCCATTTCTGCTCGCCTCTTTTAATGATAAGTTTGTTTCAGGTACGCTACTTCCTACAGCAATTGGCTTCAGCACTTAAATTCTTAAGAGAAAAAGGTTCGTACATAAATAATCCACCTGCTTATTCAGCTCCTGTAGATCGTAGCGTGATGTTTTATAGCCTATAGCCTTCCTCGATAAATGGACTATCCAACACAAAAAGAATTTTCAAATTCGCACCAGCAGTTCCAGAGATAATCGCGTTCAAACAAACAATCTCTTTAGATCTATAGAATTTGTAGAGGAGGTACACCAAGGGTCGGTGTCCAGCCAGGGTTAGTAGTAGGTTTCGGGTCTGCGTGTGATGTGTATGTGACATTGTATGTTTGTACACGCACCCACAACACAGGAGAAAATCCTAAAGAGGGGCAAAGTTTTTTTTTTAATAAAAAAAGGATAGGAGAAGGAACGGGGAGGTTTTTAGTCAGTAAGAGTCTGACACTCTCACTGACTGACTGCCTCACCTAGAGCGGGAGAATTCATTACATGATTTTCGTCCGTAAATCATTTACTAGCAACTGTTCCGCGGTTTCACACGCTGCTCGCCTCTGATTGATCGTAGCGTGATGTTTTATAGCCTATAGCACTCAGGAACATTGTAGCTGCCTATCAGTGCAAGAATTTTAGCAATCCGACCAGCGGTTCCAAAGATTACCCCCTACATAGAAAATTACACCTCTTTATAATATTAGTGCAGATTCTCATAACTCAACACATTTTTTACACTCAACAACAGACAAAACAGAGAGTCGGTCTGTCTCACCGTCAATGAAGCTAGCTCGTTCCAAATTGTAGATTCAAATGGAGAAGATCGAGCAAGAAACTCCATACCCTAGTTTGTTTTTTCAATTATCTTTTCTAATGTGATAGAACGGCAAACGAGCAGACGGATTACCTGATGGTAAGCAATCAGCGCCGCCCATGGACACTGGCAACAATGGAAGAGTTAAGAGTGCGTTGCCTACCTAATGGGGATAAGGGATTTTGAGATTCTAGGATTAGGGAAGGGAAGGATTGGGCCTCCGATAACCTCACAAGGCGAAACATAACGCTGTGTTTGTTTAACGCCAGATTTCAGTGAGGCCGTGGCATCACTCCGATCGAGCCGACCCATTCGTGCCAAAGCATGGCTTGGCCACACTTCTAAAGGCTGTCATTCTTTTTTCACTTCAGGAGTCGTCCACATGGATCTGAAGCCCCACAACTTACTTCTTCACAAGGGATCCGACGGCAAATACATGCTGAAAGTGGCAGATTTTGGGTAAGTGGAATTCTTTTCAGCAGTCTGTGTACCCAGGGGTTTAACCGGTGTCTTCAAGGCCCGAGTGAATAGGTTGCTTATGGATAGGCGTGCTCCATCGTAGGTCGCATCATCGCTTATTGCCAGGCGTGGTAGCGGCCAAACGCAAGCGAAAATGACAAAATCTTCCAGTATCTTCATGGTAGCAAATGCTTCTTCTCATTAACCTGATGGTAAGCTTCTATGCCGGCCATGGACTCCAGGAATTCTTCATATGAATTACAAATTCATTACTAGTATTTTGGGAGTAGTTAAGAATTTGAAGGTTAGACATGGACGGGGGACAGTATAAGCTAACTTAAACTCATTCACAGAGCGGAAAATAAGGCTGTATTTGTATCCTTTTGCTTGAGCCAACCCATTCATGCCATATGCATATGGCTCCTTTATTTGACCTTTCAAGCAGCATAAAAGTTATAAAAATTGGAAATAACCTGGATTTTAGTGACTTTTATCGAGTTATATGTACTATGCTAGTTTATTTAGATACCACTGATATAGGAAGGACCACTGATATATACCGGTGAAGAAAAACATCGTGAGGAAACCTGGACTTATACTTTCTAATCATAAGTTTGAAATCGCCACTCCGTCACAAACGAGCGTAGTCATTAATGTTCAAACCCTCTCCGTGTGAGAAGAGGCCTTTGCTCAGCAGTGGGCACTTATATGCCAATGTGTTGTATACAGATTCGCGCAGCATATGACGGATGCAGTGCAGCGCTCGGTCCGAGGGTCCCCGCTGTACATGGCACCAGAGATGCTGACCGGTGAATATGATGCAAGGGTTGACCTGTGGAGCGTCGGTAAGTGGACCATTTTCATGCACGATCCTGTAAAAACAAGAAATAAAATGGGCCGAGAATAGAACCCTGTGGAACACCCATCTTCATAACAAACCCAGCAGAAATCATTCCGTTTTTACTTCAACTCTCTGAACTCTATTACTCAGGTATGAGGTAAGAAGATCCAGAGAGGCATCCCTTATTCCGTAATGGGATAGCTTCCTGATTAGCTTATCATGTAGCACACAATCGAACGCCTTGGATAATTCACAAAATATTCCCAAAGCGTCGCTTGATTCCCTTCCGAAGAGAAGTGGTAGCGATAAATATATTCTAACCTGCCATCAGCGCACGATTTGAATACCAAATGTTTGACGTTCAGTGCCTGTAAGGGTCTAATTGAAATAAATGATTTGACCTTTTCTAACTTACTATTTCTAGGTGTAATAATGTACGAGTGCCTCTTCGGCCGTGCTCCCTACTCCTCTGTCTCCATGAAGGAGCTGGTCGACAAGATTCAACGCCAAGCACCCATAGAGGTCAGTCTTAATCACCATCCCTCATTATCATCAGCCTATTAGTGCCTACTGCTGAGCAAAGGCCTCTTCTCATATGGAGAAAGAGCGGATAGCGTTGGCTATACCATCGTGATACTACGGCTTTGTAGTATACCGGCGTGAAACCACGCCGGTGTCGTGTCACGCTGTTTAAGCGAGAATTTTAGAAGACCACGAGGTTTAATAATGCCAATGCCCAAGGATTTGACAATCCAAAAATCCAAATTATTATTCTTTAAGAGTTATTCCATGAGCGGCGTATTTGCTTACCATCAGGTAATCCGTCTAATCGCAAGTCGAAATATCCCTTTTTATGGTTTATGGCTGCAAACGAGCTGACGGCTTACCTGATAGTAAGCAATCAGCGCCGCCCATGGATACTCGCAACACCAAAGGAGTTACGAGTGCGTTGCCGACCTTTTAGGGATAAGAGTTTCAGTAATTTAAGGATTGGGAAAGGATGGAGGAGGGAAAGGTTTGGACTCCCGGTAACCTCACTCACACGGCCAACACGACGCTGTGGTTGTTTCACGCCGGTTTTCTGTGAAGCCGTGGTATCACTCCGGTCGAGCCGACCTATTCGTGCCGAAGCATGGCTCTCTGGTGCTATGTTAGGGTATGTCATTTGTGACAACCACTATACCTCCCCCCACAGCTCCCCCCAAACGCGTCTATATCCCCTGGATGTAGGGAACTGCTCTTCGGCCTGCTGCAGCACGACCCCGCCAAGCGGATCACGTACGAGGAGTTCTTCAGCAACGAGTACTTGGACCTAGAGCATATGCCGTCTAAAGAGAATTATGAAAAGGTCAGTGAACTTTACCTACCTAGCCTACCCTACCTTACCTTACCTCAGAAACAAATACTTGGACCTAAAGCATAATTATAACGTCTAAAAAAAATTATGAAAAGTTTAGTGAACTTTACCTAACCTACTTATCCTATGTAACTTACCTAGAGTACCTTACCTACCCTCCCTTACTTACTCTCCCCTACCTTCCCTACTTCACTTACTTACTCTACTTCTACCTACCTTACCTACTTAACTTCATTAACCGGAACGGGTCCACTTAAATCGGTGTGGTTCTTTCCTCAAAAGACCACTACAGAATGAACTTGCACGGTTCTCTCACATTATGTTATTTTTACATTGTCTGGACTTGACAAGAGATTGACCTCTGAGTTTGTTTCGTCATTTCTTCTCAGAGTAGTCAGATAGGAAATGCCGGCTTCATCTAGTTCTTCACATATAAATTGACGTGTAAATGTGCCGTTTTATGGCCTATTTGCAAAAATAAATTCATTGTTTCATTGTTACCTACTTTACATAACCACCCTAACTTACTTATCCGAACTTGCCTATCCTACCTTACCTACTTCTTCTACCTTCTTTACCTATCTATCTTACTTTACCTACCTGCCTACCCTACCATACCTTACCTTACCTCAGCAAAAACCACTTGGACTATGAGAATATGCCATCTAAAAAGAACTATGTAACGATAAATGGTAGAACTAGGATGGATTACTTATTTACACTAACTGGTAGCTTACCTACTTGAACTATTGACATTGACAACAGCACCAATCACGTGCAAGTTTCTACATCGCGCTATAAGAGTTTACAACACAATTAGCACTGATACAAAAATCCCGACAACAACCGTCGGGCAGTAGGCCACCAGGCACGAACACCTCGTCTGGTCGGAGGATCCTCCCTTTTCAATGGAGGATGAGGAACTTTCCACCCTGATCCTCATACCTCTAAACCTACGCTGCCTTACCTACCCTACCTTACTAAACTTAACCTACGTTGCCCTACCTACCTACCCTACCCTTTTCTTTTAATCTTCCCTGTCTCTTAGTTGTTAATATCCTAGTCGGTGGCCTGTTGTGGAGATTATGTTTTTTTACCTCATATCTAAAAACTACCTACGTCTTGTCAATATATGACAATCAGGATGATGTGTTAAATACACAATCTTTATATATGTCACCGGAAAATAACAAGATCGAAGAAGTTTATCATATTACTAGAAAGTTTATAAACTTTCGTAAGATTCTAAACGGGAGATAAATTGTAATATTTTACGTCCACAATTTCGTAAATTGATAAACTTACTGAACTGATTATTCCAAAGTCTATGGACACAAGCATTGACACTATGAACATTGACCAATCAGAGAGCAGTGTGTTATTTTACGTATTTCAAAGATCGTATATTTAAAAGAGTTTCTGTGATTGGTCGAACCATATAAAATCTTACGAATAGATATTCGTTAGTTTATAAATTTACCGTATGACGTCGGAAATTGATAAATTTACGAAAATGTGGACGTAAAATATTACAATTTATCTCCCGTTTAGAATCTTACGAAAGTTTATAAACTTCCTAGTAAAATGATAAACTTACGGATCTTCTTATTTTCCGGTGACATATATAAAAATTGATCGCAAAATGTGTTGGTAAGCGCATAGCTCAAAAACGCCTGGACCAATTTTGCTAATTCTTTTTTTGCTGTGTTTGTTATTGTCAGGAGAAGGTTCTTATCAAAGAAAAGTAGAGGGGAAGATTAGGAAAAAGTGACCCTTTAACAGCGAGATTATATATTTTCTTCCAGGCGGTTAACTTAATAAAGAGAGCGATTGAATTGGACAGTGCTGGGGATTATAGTGGCGCTTTTGAACGGTATAAGCAGAGCTTGGTGTATTTGGTTCCTTGCGTGTCTTGTGAGCCAGACACTTTACGACGGGCCGCGCTAGCTGGGAAGCTTTCTAGGTTAGTAATATTATAAAGAGGTAAAATTTGTAAGTTTTTATGTAGGGGGTAATCTTTGGAACCGCTGGTCGGTTTGGCAAAATTCTTTCACTGATACATAGCTACAATATTCCTGAGTGCTATAGGCTAGAAAATATCACGTTACGATTAAAAGGAGCCGAGCAGCGGGTGAAACCGCGCGAGTGTAGCTAGTCCAAACTAATATTATAAATGCGAAAGTTACTCCGCCTGTCTTCACGCCTAAACTACTGAACCTATTTCTGTGAAATTTGGTACAGACATAGTTTGGAACTCGAGAAAGGACATAGGATAGTTTTTATACCAAAAATCTGCAGGAAGTTACTATTCCACGCGAACGGAGTCGCGGGCAAAAGCTGGTCAAAATATAGGATTACCTGATGGTAAGCAATTGCCGTTATGAGTTCGTTGCTGGTCTTTTGGGGACTAGGGAAAGGGGAGGGATGGTGGAGGGAAAGAAGTATAGGGCATCCGATACGGGGTGCTACGACGGGCCCCTAATAGGGTTGATGTTCAGCCGGAGTTGCGGGGTAAGCGCAATGAGGCACCGCGACCTCGGCACAGAGCAGGAGAAGGAACGGGGGGTTTTTAGTCAGTAAGAGTCTCACACTCCCTCCCTGGGCGGGAGAAGTCATCTAATGATTTTCCCCCTCACAAAAACCTTAGGTACTAATGTGATTAGTGGTAAAGGCGTATTTTTTTTACTTGATAGGTCGGCAAACCGGCGTCCGGATTACCTGATGGTAAGCAATCAGCGCCGCCCATGGATACCCGCAACAGATTTTTGGATCACCAAAGGAGTTACGAGTGCGTTGCCGACCCTTTGGGGATTAGAGATTTGGAGATTTTGGTATTGAGGAAGGATTGGGCCTCCAGTAACCTCACTCACACGGCGAAACACAACGCTGTGGTTGTTTCACGCCGGTTTTCTGTGACGCCGTGGTATCACTCCGGTCGAGCCGACCCATTCGTGCCGAAGCATGGCTCTCCCACACTTATATTCTCTTACTCCTTAGATACATGCAACGCGCTGAAGAGATCAAACTGTATTTGTCTACTGGTGTTTGGTACCGCCCCACTGGGTCGGAGACACACAGCGTCAACTGCTGCGGTACTGGTACAGGTAAATATACAGATTTCAGGCCCTCGAGTCACATCATCATCAGCCTATAAGTGCCCACTGCTGAGCAAAGGCCCCTTCTCATACGGAAAAGGTTTGAACAGTAATTACTAAGCTTGCTAAAGCCGGATTGGCGATTTCAAACTTATAATTGGAAATTATAAGTCCACGTTTCACCAAGTTAACAATGCAGTCGAAATTCATACACCGTGCTCTTGTAAAACCGCAAATATAAGTTTGTTTTCTATTATTTTCTAAGGAATATATTTTTTTTTTGTTACCGTTTTTATTATTATTATTTTTTATGTAATAAGTCGGCAAACGAGCAGACAGATTACCTGATGGTAAGCAATCAGCGCTGCCCATGGGTGTCCAGGCAACGGAAGAGTTACGAGTGCGTTGCCGACCTTTTAGGGATAAGGGATTTGGAGAATTAAGGATTGAGGAGGGATTGGGGGAGGGGAAAGATTGGGCCTCCGGTAACCTCACTCACACGGCGAAACACAACGCTGTGATTGACAAAATGGTGTAACTTTGATCGCTGATCCAAACTAATATTATAAATCCGAAATTGACTCTGTCTGTGTGTCTGTCTGTCTTTTCTTCACGCCTAAACTACAGAACCGATTTCTGTGAAATTTGGTACAGACATAGTTTGGAACTCGAGAAAGGACATAGGATAGTTTTTATACAGTTAATCATCTTTCCTTGATTTTTTTGAGCATAAGTATTACCTGATGGTAAGCAATCGGTGCCACCCATTCACACCTGCCCTTTTGGGGATTAGGGATTTGGAGATTTAGGATTTTGATATTACCATGATCGGTTTTGATAGCTCTGTTTTATTTTATGGAATTTATATAATGTTTGTTTTGTAGCGGAATCTCCCGCAGTGTGTATTAACACAGAAACGAATGGAGAAGCCACTGCACGGGGGACTACGGAGGAACCGGAGGGAAATGCGGGGAACAATGTGAGTATTTTGTAAATTAAAATTAAAAAAAGCTTTTTTATCAAGTCATCATGTCCGCGTTAAAGCTGGCGTGAAACAACGTCAGGTTACCGGAGGCCCAATCCTTTCCCTCATCCAACCCTTCCCAATCCTTAATTATCCGCAACCCTTATCCTTAAAAGGCCGGCAACGGACAAGTAACTTCTTTGGTGTTGCGGGTGTCCATGGGCGGGGCTGATTGCTTACCATCAGGTAATCCGTCATGCCGACCTGTAACATAAAAAAATCTGCCATGGTAATGTTATGTATGATCTATACTAATATTATCATCATCATCATCATCATCAGCCTATAAGTACGATTTAAATAGACTCGGTTTTATTCTAGGATATTTTCTCTTTTAATAACGTTGCCTTGCGTTAGGATTTTCTCCGGTGTCGTTGGTGCGTTTCACATTACATACTTACATACACATCATCAGCCTATAAGTGCCCACTGCTGAGCAAAGGCCTCTTCTCACACGGAGAAGGTTAGAGCATTAATCACCACGCTTGCTCAATGCGGATTGGCGATTTCAAACTTATAATTAGAAATTATAGGTTTCCTCGCGTTTTCCTTCACCGTATGTCAGTGGTGTCTAAATAATCATAGAAAGTACATATAACTAGGAAAAAGTCACATTGGTACTTGTCAGGTTTCGAACCTGCACCCTCATGCATGAGAAGCGGGCGCATTAACCTCCGGGCCACCAAGACATGACACTAATATTATAAAGATGAATATAAATAATATAGAAGAATCGATTTTTGTTATTATACTTTATTGCACACACATACATTTATAAAAAAAATACAATTAAAAAAAAATATGTACAAAGGCGAGCTTAACCCAAAGTTGGGTTCTCTAACAGCAAACCTTAGAGCGATAGAGAGATTGGATATGGAAGGGTAAAGTCATAAGTGCGCAACAACACATTACTGAGAAAATATAAACACTATAACAATATATAAAGACAATAAATATATATAATATAATAAAGCTACACAATATATAAACATAATACATAAAAATACAATATATACATATATTTAAACATACATCATCAGTCATGTTGACAGACAAGATTTTTGTATGAAATCGCATTTTGAATTCGTTTTACGCATCGGATCCATGCCTACGGGAAAGTAAATTCATTCCCATTTACTCTTCAACTTAATCTATCAATAATAGTACCATTATCTCACATATAGGTGGCGCCACAAGCTCAAGGGTCTCCATCGAAACCTCGCTTCGGTTTCAAGAAATTATTCGGACGACAACCTCCGTACCTTGATCCTAAGGACTCAAGTATGGTAAGTAACTGTATAATGACGTTACCCCAGTCTTTCCGTGGGTGTGTAATACCACGCTGGAAGATAGGAAGAAGATATTTGTCAGAAATCTTTTAAGTTATCTTCTACACGTCTGCCAAGCTTGGAGATTATGAGTAGACTGTCTTATCTGTTATAAGCTTATAGTAAAGTTGATTATTCTTTTGACCACCCCCAGTCTTCCAATGGGTGTGAAATGCCCCACGTTATATTAATGATAAACCTTTTAAGTGACCATTTTCATGATGTCTGCCAAGCTTAGAGATTATAGGCAAATCTTATCTATTCGAGGCTTATGACAAAGAAAAATAAAGAATAATATATTTTTATGATCAATCTTCATCTCCAATTTTCCCATGGGTATAGAGTACCTACCCAAATTAAAGACTAGATGACTTTCTCTGATATAATAATCTCCCATAGTTTCCAAGCTTGGCAGTGAACGTCTTATGTAGAGGTTTATATTCTAATATTATTATTAATTGTACATGATTATAAATAATTACATTAATTACGGCTTCACTCAAGTGCAAAGTTGATACTAAATTTCTCCACTATTTAATGGATGTTATTATACATATAAACCTTTCTCTTCAATCACTCTATCTATTAAAAAACCGACATCAAAATCCGTTGCGTAATTTTAAAGAATGAAGCATACATAGGGATATAGGGACAGAGAAAGCGACTTTGTTTTATACTATGCAGTGATTTTATGTTTTTTGTTTGTAGACGGATGAAAAAGGCGATGAAAAACCTAAGCAATGCAATACTACAGATCAAGAAGGATGTCGTATAACGTGAAGAAATTACAATAAAAAATATTTTATATATAAAATGCTAGCGGACCCTACATATATCAATTTTCAGCGAAATTATTAGGGCCCTTTCCGAGGTCACATGCTTTTTCAAGCAATTAACGCCATCTGTTCGGCTTTTTTTTGAAAGGGGAAAATCATCACATGACTTCTCCTGCCCAGGGCCGGGCGGGAGGGAGTGTCAGACTCTTACTGACTACAACCCCCCCCGTTCCTTCTCCTGCTCTGTGCCGAGGTCGCGGTGCCTCATTGCGCTTACCCCGCAACCCCGGCTGAACATCAGCCCTATAGGGCCCCGTCTGTGGTGGTCGAATGGCTGCCATCTGTTCGGCTGATTTTTGAATCTAAATCATCCAGGGAGTCACTCAAACGCATACAGAAAAAATCATTTAAATCGGTCAAGCCGTTTAGGAGTTCAATTACATACACAAAGTCAAAGTCATTTATTTCAATTAGACCACAGTAGGCACTTTTGAACGTCAAGCAAAAAAAAGGAAAAAAGTATTTCAAGAGCTTTAACTTTAAGCGTGTCAGTATGTCCGTCTGTCCTCTAGTGAAGCTATTTGCTCGTTCCAAAGTGTAGATTCCTATGGAGAAGAACGAGCAAGAAACTCCATGGTTACTCTTTTTAAATCAGTTTTACAATACATTTCTTTGTTACATCATTTAGTCGGTTCTAGGAACACGTACAGCAGAATTATCTATACTAATATTATAGAGGTAAAATTTTTAAGTTTTTTAGTTTGTATGTAGGGGATAATCATTGGAACCGCTGGTCGGATTGCCAAAATTCTTTCACTGATAGATAGCTACAATATTCCTGAGTGCTATAGGCTATAAAGCATCACGCTACGATCAAATGGAGCCGAACAGCGGGTGAAACCGCGCGAGAGTAGCTAGTATACCTATATATATAAAGATAAGCGCCTTATAAATGACTTTTTTGGGACTGGTCTAGTCCAATAACAGGGAAATTTCTTAGATACAAGATCTCTATAACTTCAAACCAAAAAAACGTTATTCAGGTAATTGTTAAAGACATAATTATTATTATTAAGATTTCACTTTTTCTTCGCTTTTTTTGTCATAAGTCGGCAAACGAGCAGACGGATTACCTGATGGTAAGCAATCAGCATTACCTATGGACACTATTAATGCCAAAGGAGTTACTACAAGTGCGTTGCCGGCCTCTTGTAGGTTATTTATTAGCGATTTGAGGATTGAAGAGAATGGAGAATTGGGCCTCCGGTAACCTCACTCACACGGCGAAACACAACGCTGTGGTTGTTTCACGCCGATTTTCTTTGTGGCCTTGGTATAACTCCGGTCGAGCCGACCCATTCGTGCCGAAGCATGGCTCTCCCACACTTTTTCACTTCTTCAAAAGATTAGCGTCGCATTTATATTATTTACTCCTCTTGTATTATCTGCTTCTATGGGCGGCGATGATTGCTTACCATCAGGTAATCCGTCTGCTCGTTTGCCGTACTATTGCATAAAAAAAGATCTAGAATAAACTTCGGATTTTACCTGTGTTTTACGCTTTGCTCGTGTTGATTCGACTAGTTTCAAGCCATGCTAGGGCTCATAAATGTAAGAAGCATGGTCGAAAAGGACAGAAATATTATTATTATTAATTTTTCCTGTTATGAAGGTGGAAAAATCATGAAATGTCTTTATTCATCAGCTGTGGATGGGGAGAGAGAGTGTCAGACTCTTACTGACTAACCCCCCACCTCCCCCCGTTCCTTCTCCTGCTGTGACTTGAAACTAGTACAGTTGCCTTATAGATATAATTAATTAATCCATTCCTGTGTAAAGGACATGGCCAAAAAAGTACATTCCACGTACACGAACAAAATTAATACACTGTAAAATACAAATAGAAATATGAATTATTACGTAGTTTTTAGCCTCTCCAGACCTGACAATTATTATTAAAAAAATGTAAAAGTAATGCAACAAAATCAACTTATCGTTTGTCAAGTTTCGCCATAATAGTCCATAGAGAAAGATAAATAAAAAGACGTTCCAATTCCAAACCACGTGTCTTAAACTACACTCGTAGAAAACCTGTGATATGATCGACAAATGCATTACAACTGTATTCTTTGGTTTTAGTTGCATTTTAAAATATACTCATATTATAATAATATATTATTATGTTTTATTTTTATCCAATTCACCAAAAAAAAAAAAAACGAAACGGAACGTGTTTGACACTTTTGACAGCGTGTTTTTGTTAACTAATAATACTGGAGTAACTGTTTTGCGTTTTGGATTTGTTTTGTGGATTACGATGAGGTGCATCAACTGCGGAATAGGCGTACAAAGGCTGCAGAGGCGTCTTATATCCTCGCTTTCTGCACACCATCAAACAAAACTTTCACGTTGGTTAACCATAGCTCAAACCCAGGTATGAAGTCGGAATAGTATAATAGGTACTTAGTCTGTTTTTTTATGTTTTATAATGGTATGCGATTTTAAACAGTGCATCTTTTTTTTAGTAGCCTCTGGGGACATTCATTTGTCTACCACGCTTCTTATTATTGAATACTGAGGCTGGTGAACATGAGAGACTACTGGGGCATAACATGGCTTGCCTTGGTTGTGGAAAATCGGTTCGAAAAATAAGACACCATAATGTCAGTATGGACTTTCCATTGCTAGCTGGCCTAATATCACAAAATACTATTAATGTGGTAGCATTTTGTTTTTTATTCATTGTTTTATACCTATATCTACTTGTATTTATCTATATTAATCTATAAAAAAAGTACTCATAGTAGGTATGTGTGATTATAATATCTATCTTTATGTATTTTCCATGTTGTTGCATAGACTTCTCTAAAGTAGGCATGTTGTAACATAATACTTCTCACTGTACAATAACATAAAACTTGAAATCATGTGTTTATTCTAACTGGGGTTTATTTTCAGACCTCAAGAAGCAACTATGTTTGTCATGTGTGCTGTATGCGGGCAAATAGACAGACAGTGCAGGACTTATCACGAAACTTGCAGGAATTGGGTTCGGACAACAATGCAGCAGCCCTTTATATTCAAGTGGTTAGCCCACCAGAACCACCACCATTACCACCTGTTTTAAGCAGGCCGCTTCAAATGGAAAGTACTACCATATTATTACCCAATTATACAGAATATATATTACAAAAACGTACATTCCATACACAAACATAATAAAATACACTTTATAATAAAAATATAAAAGTGAATTATTACGTAGTTTTATTTTATTTGTTCACCTTAATAAATAAATAATTATTCTTTATACATATTCTTTTGTTTTATTTTATAAATAAATAAATAATTAAAACGCCATGGTTTTTAAAAGCAAAATCTTATTTCGTGCACTTATGGCCAGTAATCTGACTAAAGGTTTAGTGAAACTATTTTCGTCTTGTTTGTTATAATTACGAGTTCTTCATGTGTTTTATTTATTTCAATTTAATTTAATAATATTCACGAATGTAAACACCAAAAATCATTGATGTACATTGAATTCAATAACTATGCAAACGCCCATACAAAAGTTGGCCATGTCCTTTGTCAGCTTTTTAATATAATATAAAATTGTAAATAATTTGTCAACTCTGTGATTTAGAATTTATTATTAATAATACATAAATAAATGCTATATTGTTGATATTTTTTTTATTTGGTTTTTTTTTCTGTTTATCACCCTGTTCCTTCTCCTACTCTGTGCCGAGGTCGCATTGCCTCATTGCGCTTACCCCGCAACCCCGGCTGAACATCAGCTCTATAGGGCCCCGTCTGTGGTGGTCTATTGGCTCTGAGGATTATTTTCTTACCAGCATACCAAATAAATGCTCATATACCTGAGCTTTTCCTTTGGGTAACAAAAACCTGAAAGGAATTTGTTGCTAGCAATGTAATATTTTTCTATTTTTTTATTGCGTTGGTAACACTTCTACCGAGTTCTTTCTTCTACTGTCATGGCGTATATTGTCTGCCTTTGTAAGAGCGTCTATTGTCTAAATAAAAGTCTTCTTGTTGTTTAAAGATTGTTTTACTTTCATAACTAAAGAATTTAAATAGCGACCCGCGCCTCTTCGCTAGAATGCAACGCTATTACTAAATTTCTCCACTATTTAATGGATGTTATTATACATATAAACTTTTGTCTGAACTCCGTTGAGTGATTGGCACTCTATCTATTGAAAAAACTGCATCAAAATCCGTTGCGTAGTTTTAAAGATGTAAGCGTACATAGGGATATAGGGACAGAGAAAGCGACTTTGCTTTATACTATGTAGTTATTCCTTTAATTAATTAAATAATTCTTATATTACACTAACTAATACTAGTGCGTTTTACGCAGCACGAGTTCAAAATCAAGTCCAAAAATCACGGAAATTACTAAATCGATTTCAATGAAACTTAGTAATTAAATGAAATATACAAATACCAAAGTAAATAAAAATAATTTAGCATATCCTCGAAAGTCTAATCCCAAAATTATTGCGGGTGTCCATGGGGAACACCGATTGCTTACCATCAGGTAATCCGTCTGTCCGTTTGTCGATACTACGACAATCATCAAACAAAAACTCAGTTGAGCATTTTCGAAGATTTTTGAACTTGAAATTCTGTAAGGAAACCCGCTTAAACCATCTCAAACGTTCTCCTCAACAACTCCACTTAACTCCTTCTTCTCCTTCTTATTCTTTTTACTCTTTTTCTTTCTCTTCTTATTGGGATCATCGGCCTTATTAATATCATTGTACTTTAATAACTTTTTATACATTTTGAGCAGCAATTTGGCATCTTTTTTCAAATCTTTTGGTAAATCTTTAACAGGATCTACATAAGTAGTTAACGGTTCTAATGTATTGTAATGATCAATGGTGCCTTCTTCTAGAACATTCTCCACTTTCTCTTCTTCAACTACCTCCATCTCTTTCTTAGACTCAGCTAATCTTCTTTTCAGATCAATATTCTTTTTTCTCATTGCATTCAAAATATTTGCCGTTGACAATACTTTTTTCACTTTAGTGCTGTCCAAATATCTGTCTTTCCACGACGTGCTTTCTATAATCTCCCATTCTCTCTTCTCCGCTGCTCTCTTTTCGTATTCTTCGATCTCTTTCTGTGTTATGATCTCTTCTCGGTCTATTTCGTCTATTTTAGCTGATAATGCTTCAATTTCTGACGTCGTAGGTTCTTTTGATAATATACATTCGACTTCGTAACAAGAGGAATCGTCCGATAGCTCCATAATTTCGAATACAGCGTCTATATCCGAGTCTGAGTTAATATTTGACGATTTCTCATTATTATCTTTATTTAATTCTTCTTTTATATCCTTTCCTTCTTCTCCCACAGTCATATTTATCTTTTCATCTAAATTTTCAGGAGTACCTTTGCATTTTTCTTCTGTCTTTACAGAATTATCATCTACCGTTCGTTCTGTATAAAAGTTCTCGTCGGCGCTTTCACGAAAATCCTTCTTCTTACTCTTCTTATCTTTTTTAGACTTTTTATCTTTCTTCTTCTTCTTTTTCTTGCCTTTCTTGTCTTCTTCGTCGGATATGCAAACTACTTCTGGTTTTAAATCGACCGCTTCTACTTCTGAACTCTCTCTGTCCGACAATTCACCTTCTGATAGGTCTTTTTCTGATTCTTTCTCATCTTTTTTGTCTTCTGATGTAGATTCAGTTGCTATAACATTATTAGTTGCTGCTTTTTCTACATTTAAACATTGTGCAGAACTTATTTCATCTTCAGACGTTTTGTCAGTAACATCTTTTTTATTTTCAATAGATTCTGATACATCAGCACTCTGAATATCTTCTTTATTAATATCAGCACCTTCTTCAGAAGATTTTCTATCTTCTTTTGTGACAGAAGTGTCTATACTTTTATCATTTTCAGTCTTACTATCATCATTGTCAGAACTTTTATCTTTTATGTCTTCTGTGTCATCTTTTTTCGCTACAATATCATCTTTTAATTCTTCTGTGGTATCTTTTTTTGCTTCTTCTTGTTTCTTTTCTTCTGCGGCGTCAGAATCACTAGATTCAGAGCTAGAGTTGGAACAGGAACTTACATTATCAAAATTCTTTCGGTCCAAATCTTCTAGAAGATCCATTTTCTCCGTATCAGAGAGTTGTAGAGTAATCTCGTCATTGTCTATATCGTCTTTCCTAATTTTCTCCTTTCTCTTCTTTTTACTTTTATCTTTTTTAGCTTTCTCCTCTTTTTCATTACTATTGTTTGGTGTAGCAACACTTGTGTTACCGTTTTTAGTGATGGCAACTGTCTCTTTTGTAGTAATATTGGATTTCTGGCGGTTCAATTTGATTTTTTGTTTGGATTTTTGTGGTACCGTGATGATGAGGTCGTTTATTTTTTTAGTCACCGTCGCGGGTTGGGTTTCCGCAGCCGGTTGAGTCACTTCTGTAAATTAAAAAAATATATTAATTTAGACTCGAACCCACTGCGTGCATTAAATTCCAAATAAGAACGAGCAACAAACTCCATGGTTACTCTTTTTCAATCAGTTTCACAATTCATTTCTTTGTTATCTTATTAAGTTTGGTCTATTTTCAAGCGCGGATCCAGACTTCAAAAAATGTTGTGGTCACAGCTACTAGAAAATCGGCTAAGTACGAGTCGGAGCAAAGACATGCTCATTAACAATCATGCAAATCGTTTATGAACTTATGAATTAGATTATTTCCTTTTTTCTGAGCATCAGAACTTTGGCCTTAGGAAGAAGTCGGACACGATTTCTTCTAATTTCTAATAGTCAGTTTCGATCCAAACCTATTTCAATCACAAGTGTATTAAGGTTGTGGGCATGCCCATCGTGCCCACAACGGTGGATCCGCCCTTGTCTATTTTGTGTAACACATAACTCAACAACGCCTAACTCAATTCACCCAAATCTTTTTTTGCTGTTTTTTATTGACAGGAGAAGGTTCCTATGAAAGAAGGTTTTGGAAGTGGAGGGGAAAGCTTGGTAGTTGGACAGCCATGCGACGCCAAGGCAGGCCACTAGTGTATGGTAAACCTCAATAATTTGAATGTCAATTTTAACTCGCAAATCTCCGGATTTATAGGATATATCTGAGAATAGGATCCTAGCAACGTGTTGAACTTGCTGGCACTAATGAAAAAGTTTTGATTTTCAAAAATAATGGTTCCTTAACTCACTGGATTCCAACTCCTTTATATTAGGTTTCTCGTCATCACTGCTGATCTCCACGACCTCTGCTGGCTCCTCTTTGATCTCCACCTCGTTGTCTGAGGAGTTGGAGACTGGCTCCTTCGATGTACTCTCTGATACTGGCTCTACGGAAAAACAGACAGACATTGCAAAAGAGCAGACGGATTACCTGATGGTAAGCAATCAGCGCCGACCATGGACAGTCACAACAACGAAAGAGTTACCAGTGTGCTGCCGACCTTTTGGGGATTTAGGGATTGGGGGACCTCACTAACACGGCGAAACACAACGCTGTGGTTGTTTCACGTCGGTTTTATGTGCGATCCAAATATTTTATTCATTTTACATCATGTACCTATTTTTCTAAGTATTAATGAATATTTTAAAAGATATAGGTACTTACTATTTTGCTGTTCATTCTGTAACTGTGCTCGTATCGCGCGCGCTCGTGCCTGTAACTCTAGCAGTTCGAGCACAGTGAGTCCGGCTCGTGACGCCTTATTCCTGTCCGTGTCGGAATCATCCTGCTCTTTGGATTTCTTGTGCTTTTTCGATTTAGAATGGCGACGATGTTTATGCTGTAATGAAATAAAATAATTATTATTAACGATTTTCGGCAGGGCACAATTATTGTTTGTGAGATCCACAAAATGTTGTTCCATGAGTCTGGGTGTGATGTGTATGTGAAATTGTATGTTTGTAAACGCACCCACGACACAGGAGAAAATCATAGTGTAGGGCAAGGTTTTCAAAAATAAAAAAAAATATTCTGATAGCCATGCTTAGGCAAAAATGGGTCGGCTCGACCAGAATGATACCACGGCCTCTAAGAAAACCGGCGTGAAACAACTACAGTTTCGTGTTTCGCCGTGTGAGTAAGGTTACTGGAGGTCGAATTCTTTCTCCCATCCTAGGTTCCCTTAAGACTTACAACACTTGTAGTAACTCCTTTGTTATAATGTGTGTACATGGGCGGCGCTGATTGCTTACCATCAGGTAATCCGTCTGCTTGTTTACCAAACTATGAAAATGAGTGAAATATGAGTCACTGATGATTTGTTTGTGTGTGCTGTGTATTTAAATTTACCTTTTTCTTCTTACTGCTTGACTGGCTGAGAATCTCCTCATCTGAGGATATGCTGTCCAGGGATATAGTCTCTAACTCCGGTGGAGGAGACGGGCTGGAGGACTCCGTGTCCGATGGGGGCTCTGCTCCGTCTAAGATTGCTAGGAGACGCTTTGAACTTATACCTAGGAGCTGGAAATAAAGGACAACGGAACACTGGTGAGAATCAAGGCTTGATTGTTTTATCATGAGAGTGAAGGTACTGGAGGCTAGGTCCTACCCCCTATCTCCAATCCTCAAAAATTTATCTATCTTATATATATAAAAATGAATTGCAAAATATGTTGGTAAGCGCATAACTCAACAACACCTGGACCAATTTTGTAAATTCTTTTATTGTTGTATTTTGTATTGTCAGGTAAAGGTTCTTATGAAATAAAATTTTAGAAAAGTAGAGGGGAGAGTTGGGTGATAATCCCTTTCATTGGAAGCGAGATGATGGGACCTGTGCGAAGCAGGGGTGAGCTGCTAGTTATTATATTTACAATTTGATGGTAATAAGATGTGTGCTGTTGCTGTTAAGCAAGTTTTAGATGTGTAGTCATCAGCCTATAAATGTCCACTGCTGAGCAAAGGCCTCTTCTCACACGGAGAAGAAGGTTTGGCATTAATCAACATGCCAGCTCTAGGTAGATTGGCGATTTTAATCTTACAATAACAAATTGTATATCTAGAATTCCTGACGATGTTTTCTTTGGCCATAATTAGTGTCTAAATAATCTTGGAAAGTATGTGCATCTAACTCATATGCTACATCCTCATGCATGAGAAGTGAGTGATAAAATGATAAATGATTATCATTTATTTGCTCATACTTTACAGTACTCTACAGTCTGGTTTGGGTGACTAACCAATCACTTCTAATATTTGTTTAATAAGGAATTCTGAACAGATTTAGATAACTTTGCAGAGCTACACCATAGTCAGGAAAAACACACAGACACCTTCATATCCCGTGGATACGAGCAAAACCGCTAGCAGAAGTAAGATTATTTACATAATTTGAAAAAAATAATATCAAACCTCTTCTGTGCATAGTTCCTGCAGGTCGTCTATACTTATATTTCTAATGCTCGCCGGTAATATACTCTTTAATTCTCTGTATTTAATCACAGAAAATACTTGGTGCACCAACTCGACTCGATCATGAATATAGTATGCCAAATCGTGTACTTCTTCTGGCTTAGTAGGTGCAGAAGTTTCTGGCGTTTCAGTTTTCACTTTATGCTTTGATCGCTTCATTTTTAATTGTTTCTTTTAACACAAATTCGCAGCGATTTCGCAAATGTAAACTACAAAAACATTAGAAATGCTGTCCGGAGAAATAGAAAAGTTAGTCACATTAAAAAAAATGAATGAATGAAGGTGACTCCGCAATTTTGTAGTATTATAATGTCCCGATTGTCAATTTTGACGTTTAAAAGATGCGTTCATAATTAAATTTTAACTTGATGGTAACATTGATTAAATCAAAATGAAAAGTAAGTAGGTAATAGTTTTTTAGACATTTTGCTTTTCTCAGGCTTTTGTTTTCTAGTAACTTCTGTCATAAATGGTCATAAAAACTGTGTATAATAAGCAAATGGGACTGAAATAAAATAATTCGGTCTCCGCTGGGCAAAATGCCACTGGAGGATGTATTTAATAACTATTTTGATAGAGCAATGCAAACAGCATTTAAATCTCTCTTGTTGATATTTTGCCCTAAGGTTTCCGAGTGTATTACACCTCTAAAATTAGTGAACAATAAATTTTACGACTTAAAAAAGCCTTCGACAATAAATCAAGGATTGTTGGATTGCAATTACTTTTTGTGAACGCATATTATTGTATTTTTGCGGGATACTGTGTCAATAAAGATGGCTGTTGAAAAGTTGTATGAAAGTGATAATTATTTGATCGTAAACAAGCCTTACGACATGTACATCAACTCGGATGATGAGCACGAGAAGGTGAGCTCGCTAAATTAGTTAAAACACTTCAAAATTCATTCATGAAAGGTTATGTTTACAATTACATCCAACTCTGCTTGCTTATGTTGCCAGTGATGTATCGATGTCGGAGTTGGGACATTTATCGATATCGATAAACTGATTGCCAGCAAAAACTACGGTAATGGGTAACTAGCTTCCGACCGCAGCTTCGCCCGTATACTATGTTGATAAAAAACAGCCTTTGTGTTAATCGGGGGTACTTATCACCTATCCACATTACAAATTTCTACCAAACCAGTTTAGCCTTTTGGTGTGAAAGAATAACAAAATTTGCATCCATATATATTCTCACAAACTTGTAACATTTATAATATTAGTAGGATGGTAGAGTAGTCAAAGGTTACTGTTTTTTGAAAATGACTTAAACCTTCTTCTCAGAACACAGTGACATACCACATAGCTTCACCGGACTCTCATCTTTCGTCATCTTTATTCCCACTTCACTTCGTTCAACGGTTGGATTATGCTACAAGCGGCGTGTTATGTATCGCCAAGAACAAATCGTCCGCCGCCCGGGCAGGGAAATTGTTCGAACAGCGGATAACGAAGAAGTATTATCTCGCTGTTGTAAGGGGTCACGTGACTTTTGAAGTTGCCGATATTGAATTTAACGTTGGTGAGTCAATGTGTTTTGTTTCAATTAAACTCAATTCAAGTCAAGGTGTTTTTAAAACGTCTTTGCATTGTTGGTTGGCGTCAATTTAAGTGTAATAAGGGATCGCGGCCTCGGCCTGGAAGAGAAGAAGAAATAGGAGGGGTTTTAGTCAATAAGAGTCTGCCATAATAATATAGTCGCCTTACCCTGGACGAAATAAGTCAATGACGTCACAAAAAAATGTATTATAAAGAACTCCAGAATTAAAAATGATGGATACGATTGTAAAACTGATAACTATTATACTTCTGCAGGTGTTGACCCCTCCACAGCGGACTCGAGTCATCGCATGTCAGCACTAATCACTAGCGAAGCATCCGTGAGATGTGTCCAATCGCGACACGCACACACGCGTGCCCTGCGTCTAGAAACAGGCTACTACGACAATAGCCCTGTCACAATTTTGTTGCTCAAACCTATTACAGGTAAAGAAATAAGTCCAGTTTTTCTTGAGGTGTGATAAAAGTAACTATGTTGAAGTTTTTATTTAATGAAAACTTTTGTCTAATAGCTGAGCAGTGAGCACTTACAACCTACATCTCTACCCCAATGGAGTTGACTGGCAGAAGATTACAAAACACATTTAAAAATAGTTATTTTAACGCACCTCAAGATCGATTGGATTTATTTCAACTGTGTTAAACACAAAATAATAAACTTAAATGTTTGAGAAGAAAAATACATTAATCTTAAGTTGCCATGATGAGACAAAGTCAAATCATTTGTTGCACTTACAACTAAACTTATTATATGGGTACTCTGAAAACTTTTGAAAGTCAAGAAAACGGTTAATGGCATATCTAACTTGTTAAAATTTACTGTGTTGCAAGTTGCTTACACACTCGCAGATATATTATTTTGAAATATACGCAATTAGAGTAGCTCAGAACCCCTGACTCTGCCTGGTTTAGATTATCGTTAACTTTACTTCCACGATTTGATCTTGTTTTTAAGTATATGTTAAAACGTTGTACCCATTACCTACAGTATCTTTGTCTATATTTTCAGGCCGCCGCCATCAACTACGTGTGCATTGCAGCGCTGTTGGGCACACAATACTCGGCGATTACACGTACAGTGGAACCAAGGACAGTTTGCCCCATCGAATGTACCTACATGCTACTAGGTAAATAAAAATAATCATCGATGATGGAACTATTGAGAAATAACAACATTAAGGGTGATACGGAAGTTTTTTCACTACGAAAATATATTACACAGTAGCCGTGTTGAACTGACATTGTTGCTTGGCTAATCTGAAAGTCTGGTAAAGACTTGACCCTTAATATTATGATACTTGTACCGCCTTAAGCTCATGTCTACCACTATAAGAGATACTAGTCTTTATAATCGATTCCTGACATTTTAATAGGATAGGAGCCAAAACGTTAGCTTACAAGATCTAATGATTGAATAAATAAATAAACAAGCTAGCGATTCGTCTACTAATTATAGCATAGCATATAATCTTAGGCCTACTTTTTTATTGTGGAATCAAAGGTGTGGCGTTATGTTAAAATAATATGTTTCAGGTTAATATTGCCTCTCCCTGACGAAGACTTGGACATACAGACTCCAGAACCTTTCTTCTCGGACCCAAGATTTAGCTCCAAATGGAAGTCTGAGACAGCGTATTACAAATACCGAAGTAAAGAAGATTTTCAGTCCGTCTGCGATATTTTAGACAAATCTTATGTAATAGGTGTTCAGTACAAAATCTTTAAAATGTAATCTTCCCATTTCATAATTAACCTTAAATTATTTATAAAAAAAGTAATATTGTTGAATGCCTCGTTTTTTTGCTGTCAAGGTTGTGGTCCCGCTGATGCGGAGTGAAGCAGAGTCGCGTTTAATCAATCTAATAGCTTGGAAATCCATATCTCTTCTCTCGTCCGGTTCAAAGACAACATTTTTAGGAAGGACGCAATTAATTTAATGAACGAATGACATTTATTTCAGACAAAAGTCCATGAATTGTTAGAAAGACTAGAAACATTATAAAGCTATTGTTAGTAGTTACTCACAAATACTAGACAAAGACGGTCACTCAGTGGGCATCGCATAGGTGTATTCCCTCAGTGTGTAGTCGCTTCCAGTATTATTATTATTTTAGGGCAAAATCATTAAATTACGTCTCTCGCCCAGGGCAAGGCAAGAGAGAATGTCCCGCATGCCATCATAGAAGCACAACGCTTTTGTCACGCTTTAAATATGTGGGAAGCAGGCTTAGTTTGATTATGGCCAAAAGAAGCCATAACAAGACAGTCCGTAGTGTGATAGCTCACTCGCGCATTCATTGTTATTATTTATATTCACTTTTCCAACCTCGTCTAGTAGAGAAACATGCAAAAGAGCTTCACAAACACACAGGACGATGCGAACACACCTACCTCTTTTTACAGATAAACCCCGGTCCTTCACTGCATTGCTTCGCCTCTTCAGCAACACCCCAGTCTAGCAAATTCTAAATAAAACATACGTCTATCGATAGTGATTAGCAAGTAACAATAAACATCACTATAACTGTCAGATGTCGACAAGCTGATACGTCAAATCGATTTTTGTTATGACAACTCAGGGACGAGTGTTATCAGCTCGAGTTGTTTTTGATAATATCTTGTAAAGTTCTCAATATTTACAATGGAAATGGGGACGGATCCTCTGGAGGGAAGTAGCTATGAAGTAGGAGTCACAGTGAAAGCGGAAATCAAGGAGGAGAGCGAAGATGATCATTTTAATACTATGTAAGTTTTGTTATTGGCGATCGGTTTACGATTTAGATGTTCGTGTTAGAATAGTTTTCCTTTTTTATAGTATACTACCTTACTACCTTTTATCTATCGCTTGTCTTACGTGTGCAAATTCTCAAGAAAATTGGTTAAACAGGTAAAACATTTTACTAATTTTAATTTCGCCCAAGATATTATTATTTACAAACCATTAGTAATATAACTTGAGATTTATATATAAACTCAACAACACTCCTTTAAATCGCTGAAATAGTTGTTAGGGCTGCACATATTAGTGTAAAAGACACGAGTTTCGGCACGAATGTGAATGTCGGAGACATACCTCGGTGTTACAGAAAGCCGGCGTAAAACAACGACAGAGTTATGTATGTAAGTGGTTACCAAAAGCCCAATCATTGTTCTACACTTTCCAATCCCTAGATCTAGGAATCCTAATCTCAAAAAGGCTGGAAATACACTTGTAACTACTCTGGATTTTGTGTGTCCACATTTGATGCCAATAATTGCACACCATTGGGTAATTTGTATTCTAATATTCTGAACATCCACATAAACAAGTGACATTCAAGTTAACTAGCCACATGTAATATTGTGGAAAGTATACCAAGAACAATTACAGACAGTAATGCCCGGTTTCTGAAACTCCAATCAATGTTAAAATCAACTAACTAGGTGTCAAATCTCTTGTCAAGTCATCTGATTGGTTGTTGATAATTCAGTCAACCAATCAGGTGACTTGACGAGAGATTAAATTGATTTTAACATTGATTGGCCTTTTGGAAACCGGGTGTAAGTATACTATTATAGACATTCAGTAAAAAAGTCTCAACTGTAGTTAATTTTCTTTTCACCTAGGAACTATTATGTTTTCTCCTCTTTTAATCTATCTTCTGATCTATTTCAAAGTGAAACAGACAGGCACATTAGAACTTTAAACAAAGCTTTAAGATATAAAGTGTCAGTCTGTCCGTCAGTCCTCTAGTGAAGCTATTTGCTTGTTCCAAAGTGTAGATTCCTACGGAGAAAAACAAGCGAGAAACTCCATGGTTACTTACTCCTTCTCAATCTGTTTCACATACAGATTCTTTGGTACATTATTAAATTGGTTTGAATATGCGAGAACAGTGTAACACAAATATATACAAAAAGACAAAAATAAAAATATGTTGACTGTTTGAAGCTGACAAGCCCCAATTGACGGTCAATTAAAAAAATTAATTGCTGAGTGATCCAAGACTGTTATTCAGGTTCCTAGGATGCCTTACTTCAGTGATTTCATGGTTATACCTTCTGTAGACCCTGGTTTATGAAAGTTGCATGTAAGAACTCAATAACTTCTTAGCTGCAGCTTCACATGATCAGAATGGATGTTCCATTTTTTATGGTATGGCAAACAAACAGAAGAATTACCTGATGGTAAGCGATCAGCGCCGCCCATGAACACCCGCAACGCCAAAGGAGTTACGAGCGCGTTGCCCTACCTTCTAGGGATTAGGATTTTGGGGATTTAGGGTTTACGGATGTAACCTCACTGACACGGCAATTTTGAATAAACAGACAGTTTTATCTTCAAAGATATATTATTACACCTTCCAGGGCACTCCTAGAACTAGCACAATGCGTTCAAACGAATCAAGAACCGATCGAATTCAACTCCACAGACGCAATGATGGATCCGAAAACCGGCCTAATGATCTGCCTGCACTGCCTCGAAGATTTCGACCCCAACCTGTTATCCGATCACATGGTCAACGCACATAACTACAGACGGGTCTTATTCAAGTGCCAAATATGCCAAAGTACATTCCAAGAACGAAAAATGTTAAACGTACATCGTCAAGAATGTCAGCCGGAACAGAAAGTTAGGAAACGGAAGACTTTCCAACAAATTCTTCGGGACGTTGAGGCTAAATACTATATGGCGGATGAGCAAGCTTTGCTAGAACCGGTGTCTTGTCCAATATGCTTACTGGAGCTACCAAAATACTGCTTGAAAGAACATTTGGTGAATGAGCATAGGAAACCGGACGTGATTCTAACATGTGGACGTTGTAACAGGAATTTCAAATCCAAGTTGACATTAAGAGAACACGTCAAATTGGTGCATGAAGCGGTTGAGGATTCTGAAGAGTGCGAACTTTGCGGACAGAAGTTCAGGTCGTTAAAGTATCTGTCCAATCATAAGAGGAATGTGCATCCGAGCGGTGAGTTTATCTTTGTCAATAGCTTTCGAATGATTTGCGCTGAAAAAAATAATAATATAAAGGACCAAAATTGGGTACTTGTCTTAAAAGATCGTATTGTAATTGGCTAATTATTATATGACATCATCATCAGCCAGTAAGTGCCCACTGTTAAGCAAAGTCTTCTAATTACACGGAGAAGGTTTGAGCATTAATCACCACGCTCGCTCAATGCGGATTTGCCAAGTGAAACTTGTAATAAGAAATTGTAAGGCCCAGGTTTCATCACGATGTTTTCCTTCACCGTATGTCAGTGGTGTCTAAATAATCATAGAAAGTACATATAACTCGGGAAAAGCTTTGACTGCACGGTTGGTGCGGTGGCTAGGCAACTGGCTGCCGTGCAACGTGTCGCGGGTTCGATTCCCGCACGGAACAACTCTTTGTGCGACCCACAAATTGTTGTTCCGGGTCTGGGTGTCATGTGCATGTGAAATTGTTTGTTTGTAACCGCATCCACGACACAGGAGAAAATCCTAATGTGGGACAACGTTTTTTTTAAAAAAAAGAAAAGTAAAGAAAGAAAGAAAAGCCATATCAGTACTTGGCAGGCTTCGAACCCGCACCCTCATGCATCCATGAGAAGCAGGCGCCTTGAATTCGGGCCTCCAAAAATAAAAATAAAACAATATGTTGAAAGTCAAATCATTTATTTCAAATAGACCACAACAAGCACTTTTGAACGTCAAACAAAAAAGATAAATATCAAAAAGTTCAACTTCATGTGTATCAGTCTGTTTTCTAGTAAAGCTATTTGCTCGTTCCAAAGTGTAGATTCCGATGGAGAAGAACGAGCAACAAACTCCATGGTTACTCTTTTTAAATCAGTTTCACAATTCATTTCTTTGTTACATCATCATTCAGGGCTTATTTTTTCAATGGTAAGATAAAAGTTACCTGCGGAATAATTATGATGCTGTCGCGTCACAATGTTTGTATAAGACAGTGACAGCAACAATTTTATTCCTCAGATAACATTTATCTGACTATTGAAAAATCTGTTACCAAACGCCCCCATTTGTCCACAGGTAACAAGATCCACAAATGCACGGTATGCGGGAAAGTATTCAAATCTCGCCTTTGTTTACACCAACACAGCAAATACGTTCATCCCCCAGAGTCCGCATCAGTGGAATGCCCTCATTGTCCTAACAAGATCTTTAAATCTCGGATGAATTTGACACAACACCTTAAAGTATCGCATGGGTATAAAAGGAAGATGAGCAGCATATCTACCGTGTAAGGGTCTTGGTGTGACACAGTTTGATCCAAGTTTCTATATAACTTCTTCATAAATGCGAAAGTTACAATGTTCGGATGTTTGTTACTCAATAACGCCAAAACGGTTGGAGGGATCTGGATGAAATTTGGTACAGGCATAGGATACACTCCAGAATAGGGCTAGCGAAACCGCCTGCGGAAGCTAGTCGGATATATTTCGGTGCGCGGTGTGCGGGGCAACTGTGCAATTTGATTCCCTCTAATCCTTTCCACTATCGTACCACCAGATAATTGGAAAAATGTCACCGGTACATGGTGGATATCCGATCCGCAAGCAAGAAGCGATTCGCCTTAAGTATTTTTTATGTGATAGGTCGGCAAACGAGCTGACTGATTACCTGATGGTAAGAAAATCAGCGCCGCCAATTTACACCCGCAACAGAGGAGTTACAGGGATTAGGAGATTTAAAGATTGGGGGAGAGGAAAGATTGGGCCTCCGGTAATCTCACTCGCACGCGGAACACAACGCTGTGGTTGTTACACGCCGGTTTTCTGTAAGGTTTTTTTTGTCAGAACTTTTAAGATGAGGATTTTGCCGTAGTTTGCGTTCCTCAAAGGGAGTCGTTAAGACTCGAGTTATTAGGTTATATATGAATTGTCGTCATAGGTCGCATCAACGCTTGCCACCAGGCGAGATGAAGGCCAAAACCGACCTATTGCAAATAAAAAATAAAATGGAAAAGCTGGACTGTATCGGCTCGACCGGAGTGATACCATAGGTCCAATCAAACAAGAGACTTAACTCGATATGTACAGATTGTTGGTCACTTCAAATAATGTTTGTAATTTGTATTTGTTATTGTAATTACGTACGAGTATAATCTATAAAAAAATATATAACCGTTTTCCCCCCAAAGGGAAGGAAGCAAGTATTTCAGATCTTGCCTTCAACTTGACCTTTCACAGATAACTACCCTTACATTAGAGTACACACATGCTTACTACTTACCTACTTTATCCTTCGTGTGAGTGCAATCTGCTTTTTTTTATCCACTTGGGGTTAAACCCGCCCCAAGAGGGAGTTAATTGCGACGCAATGCGCAAATCTTATCTGCTCTTTGATAAAGATTTGTATATGGGATGAATTGGGGCATAATTATGAGACTGATATAAACATAAAAGGTGGTTGTTGAATACAAAGAAAATAATAATGAGCGAGCGTGTCCTTGCGTCGTCGCGCATGCGCGAGGTCTTGTTAGTACCTAGCTCCGAAAGACGGCAAGAACTTGCTCAGGTCAAGCCTCGGCAAGATCTGAAATACTCGTTTTCTTCCCTTTAGGGGGAAAACGGTTAGGTATATTTCAGGTCTGTGCCTTTGGCTTGACCTTTCGGAGACGTTTCTATCCTCTGCCGGCGCGCTAAAGCGTACTGTGATAGGGTAATGTGTTAAAATAAAACAGGTTATTTATTGTCATTAGCTAACAACTATTTTAGGCTACATAGCCAACTCAGAAAAATTAAAACGCCTACTCGAAAATTATCAATACCTCATCATCATCATCATCAGCCTATAAGTGTTCACTGCTGAGCAAAGGCCTTTACTCATAGGGAGAAGGTCAGAGCATTTATCACCACGATTGCTCAATGCGGGTTGGCGATTTCAAACTTATAATTAGAAATTATAAATCCAGGTTTCCTCACGATGTTTACCTTCACCGTATGTCAATGGTGTCTAAATAATCATAGAAAGTACATATAACTCGGAAAAAGTCACATTGGTACTTGCCAGGTTTCAAAGCCACACTCTCATGCATGAGAAGCAGGCTCCTTAAGCCGTAAACCACCACGACATTTTACCTACGCCTTGATAACTTTTGATCCCTTCCGGATCGGTTTCGTTGCTTATTTCAAGGTTTTGAACCTTCAGACATACACTGATGCATCGTGTGATGATACTTAAAGATGACTGCGCCCAGATGGCTGTCTACCTCTCGAAGAGTGAGACGCTATTGGTTTACGAAATGTCGCTTTGTATCCTTTCCTCTCCGAAAACCTGTTACTTAAAGCTGGATATATCTGTGCTAGTCCACCGTTGTCTCTAAGAAATGTTCCCAATCTTTTTTCATCAAAAAGATGGGTAGGAGACGGTGGGATACTGTGTAAAGCAGCACCTGGTGGTACGTTCTTCGCTTTATTAGCTCTTCGTCTTGCCTCTATAGCTTCTGCACGATGAGCACAAAGGAACTGCAGCAAATCAGTCGACAAGACCTTAAATTGGGAGTCATCCATCAGCCAAAAGCTTACGCAATTCGTCACCCGCATTTTTTCCTAATATTATTGAGTCCGCCAGCCAGAGCCTTCCTCTGCAAGAGCAAGCCATGACTAATAGTGTCGAGCCTACCTTCCTGTTTAGTCAGGAAAGGAGATGGTTGATTTTTAAGACTTCCAAGCTCTGTATTAACCTTTAAGGCACTAAAAACAGAGGCAGTTTTAAGGTGGGAGAGCCAAGATTCGGCACGAACAGAATACCGGCGTGAAACAACCACAGCGTTAGCGTTGTGTTTCCCCGTGTGAGTCAGGTTACCGGATGCCCAATAACGCCCCTTCCCCTATCCCTTCCCGATCCTTATATCCGCAACCCCTATCCCCAAAAGGCCGGCAACGCACTCGTAACTCCTTTGGTGTTGCATCAGGTAATCCGTCTGCTCGTTTGCCGACTTATACCATAAAAAAGGCAGCCTGTAAACGTTTTTCCACCTCTTTGTATCGAATCCGGTTCCAGCTTTCGGAACCCAGTCTTTGACATTCGATGCCCTCTTTCTGAATCGGTTTGGAAGGTTCTGGTATGAGAGGGTCCATCTCTTTTACCCTTGGACGGAATTCTATTTGAGTCTACGGTGACATTTCTAGGCCTCTTGAAAAAGTATCAATTTTCGGGACATTCCAAGAGCAACCACCTGTTGACTCAAAACCTGAATGTTCCTCCGAGTTTGAGTAATTTTCCTTATCGGAGTCAGGCTCCATTGTCTGAGCCAGATTTGTTTGCTGCTGGTGATGAGTGTCAATTCTTTCTAAGAGGAGAGCAAACATGCTGTCCATTTTTTTTCTAAGCACTCGATCCTACTATCTTTTGATGTTGAAGCCACGGGTGAGATTCGTCTTCGCTTTTGTGATTGGCTGTGATCGAACACAGAAGAACAGCTTCTCCTTTTACAGTTGTATTTTTCGGACTCTGAGAGGCTGCCCCAATAGGATTTTATTAGCCTCATACCGGGTGTGCAGCAGAGTAATTCATCCACCGATTGCTTGAGAAGCTCGGTGCGGGTCGCCGAGCCTAATTCGGTTTGCTATTGAGGACGGCCCCAGAATGAGGGTGCGGGTAAATGCCCAATCTAGCAATTTGTACCTTATTTCACGATATCCCTTTTCTGAGAGATGATCTGCCTCTGGGTCAAAGGCTCGAACTAAACCTACCGTAGAAAGCGCGAACATTAGTTTGTTCAAAACTCTTCCTTTGATAATTGCGTTAATGACTTCCCATTGTGTCCCAACCCTTAGGTCCCAGTGCGCTAAGATCTTGACACGCTCCAATATCGCCTCATTGAGTTTCCCCATTCTCGTCAAGCAACTCCACAAGCGTCGTATAGCCTCTTCCCTGCGCCATCTGACGCAGGCAGACGAGGTCGTTACTAAACGAGGCTGTACTGACAAAGCCACAATCGACTGTAACCGTAGTCGCAGGCGGTTCGTTGGATAACCTATGTATAGGTTAGTTACAGAGGTCGGCCATTAAGCCACGCCGTAAAATATAATAGCCGCGCCGCTCAAACTTCGTGCCGTGTCGCTCAATGATTGAGCTACGCCACGTAGTTAGAGGGGCGTGTATTTAGCCAGAAGCTTGCTGCGAAGCGAGTATCTGACATTTATGGCAGTAGCCGTGCAGCTGACGTGTCGTGTAGAACGGATACCTCACGCACCCTGTGGATGGACCGACAGAACTAGTCAGCATTGGTTGCGATAGCGAACCGACATGCGTACAAATATGCAGCTTAGCCATGCACAGCAAGAAAAAAATATTTACACTCAGCAGATTCCTATAACAGATAAAGCACTCACAAAAAGAATAAAACCAATACAATACCACCGACGTATCATGACGAGTCTGAAGTTAGCCGATTACCTGCGCAGTACACAATTTTGTTCCTAAAACATCCATTGCGCAGACTAACGGCTAACTTCAGACTCGCCAAGATATGGCGGCCGTAATGTATCAAGAACTTATCAATTCGTTACGTTGGCTTGTAATGCACTGGCAAGTCTCTTAACATAAGAGCGCGCTCGCGCCTCGCGCGCCTGCCGCCGCCGCGTCTCGCGCATGCGCGACGACGCAAGGACACGCTCGCTAAGCAGGTTTCACTCACACAAAGGATAATGTAGGTAAGTAGTAAGCATGTGTGTGTACTCTAATGTAGGGGTAGTTATCTGTGAAAGGTCAAGCCGAAGGTAAGATTTGAAATACTTGTAATAAGTGGGTATACGTTTAATTATGTTGAAAATGTAGGATCTGCAAACATTTTCGAGGAAAGTTCTACTAAATTCAAGTTACCTACAATAAAAGTGCGCTTCTTGGCGACATCCCGCAACCGACTTGAAGCTAGTAGAGATTTTCTGAGTCAACCACGTTTGTAAGTCGTTATTTTAAATTAGCTATCTTGTAAAATAATATAAATAATTATTTTTATTTTAAAACAGCTATGGCTAGGAATCAATCAATTTAAGAAGTCAGTGAAAAACATATGTCGTGTCGTTTCAAAAATGTTTCTTCTCCTGCTAAAGTTCTGGGCCGCGGTAGATTATTACGCTTGCAACCCCTTCTTCTTCACGTTTTTTTGTGAGGGGAAAATCATCAAACGACTTCTCCTGCCCCAGTGTCAATCAGACTCTTACTGACTAAAACCCCCCGTTCCTTCTCCTGCTCTGGGCCAAAGTCGCGGCGCCTCATTGCGTTTACCCCGCAACCCCGGCTGAACATCAGCTCTATAGGGCCCCGTCTGTGGTGGTCTATTGGCTCTTTGAGGCGCATGAGGAACGTACTACACGTGGTGGAAGATGTATTTTGCCTTCACATGATATAGCCATGTCACTACAAAGTCTGTATTTAAAAATATTTCTTAGTATAT